ATTGCCCCATTAAAAGACAGAACTCGCGGCACTGACGTACAAGAAGCAATGATGGAAGTATTCAAAACAGCGAATATGTCTTTAGAAAACCTCACCGCAATAGCCACGGATGGAGCGCCATCGATGATTGGTTCTGTGAACGGCCTTGTGGGCCTTTGTAAGGGTGATGTCCTCTTCCCCGATTTTTGGAATTTTCACTGCATCATCCACCAGGAGCAACTCGTGTCTAAAACACTGAATTTAGACCACGTCATGAAACCTATGATGGAGATTGTGAACTACATCCGCACGCATGCCCTTACTCACCGACAGTTCAAAAATCTCATTGCTGACCTAGACGGAGACTTGCCAGGTGACTTGCCACTGCACTGCGCTGTAAGATGGCTCTCAAGAGGTAAAGTGGTTTCACGCTTTTTGGAGCTTTTGGAACCAGTAAAATTGTTTATGGCAGAAAAGAACAAAAGTTACCCTCAGCTCTCAGACCCCAAATGGCTTATGGATTTGGCTTTCTTAGTGGACATGCTTTCACACTTGGACAAACTAAACCTGGACCTGCAGGGGAAATTAAAAACTCTTCCTGATCTGACACAAAGTGTATTCTCCTTTGTTAACAAGGTGAAGCTGTTCAATGTGCACATTCAAAATGGCAATCTGTCCCATTTTCCTTCATTGCGCAGCGCCCAGCAGAAGGCTGGCATTAAAATGAAAATGGGTCTGTACGTGAAAATACTTGCGCAACTGCACGGGAGCTTTACTTCGCGTTTTGAGGACCTGCAGCAGAAAAGACCACAGATCGCTCTTCTCATCGACCCTTTTAATGCAGAGGCAGACTGCCTCAAATCCCCGCTTGTCACTGATGAGGCAGCGAGTGAACTGGAGATGATTGAGCTACGCGAGGATGACAGACTGAAATCTCTTTGGAAAGAAGGCCCTGTTGCGTTTTGGAGAGTTGTGCCAACTGAAAAATACCCGTGTATAAAAAGAGCCGCCCTAAAACTGCTGTCGATGTTCTCCTCAACATATGTCTGCGAATCCCTGTTTTCTACCTTGAAACACGTGAATTCCAAGCATCGGTCCGTTCTGACTGACACTCACGTAAAGGAACTGCTCCGAGTGGCTACAACTGAATACCAACCTGATTTGCAGAGGATTACTAGAAACAAGAGATGCCAGAAATCCCACTGAGATTATCACCCCATCACCTCCAGCAAGGTAAGAAACTCTGTGATGTGAAACTCTGTGACTCTGATGTAGTTTGAAAAAAATACCATCTGACTAAACATGCCTGTGTGAATATTTCAATATTGATCAATTTACATTATACAGGCCCTATCTATGTATCTGAAGTGTGTTCATTAGTTGCGTGTGTCAGAGCGAGGGATAGAGAGAGCAGTGCCTGTGTGTGTGTGCAGGGGCGGATTTAGGAAATTTGGGGCCCTAGGCAAAGACAGGCAGGGGGCCCCCTGAGAAGAAAACCCATAAAACAGACCCATTCTACAGATAGAGAAATGTTAATAGAATAGACATCCATTATTTGTTCTAGGTTTTGTCCCTCTCTTCTTGTCCCTTTTTCCTCTCTATTTATCAGCGTTCTGATGGCATTTTAGCCAAAGGATTTTTATCAAAAACATAATTAATGTGCACAAATAAGGATTAGTTGTATTAACCATACATGGAAACAGAGTTTTATGGGGCCCCCAGGAACTTGGGGCCCTAGGCAACTGCCTAGTATTGCCTAATGGTAAATCCCCCCCTGTGTGTGTGGAGAGGGGGGTGTCTGACCTCCAGGGTAGTTGCTGTATTACCTCTGGCTAAGCTGCATTCGATGTGTGTGTTGAGGGTGGACACTTGAGGGTTATGTTGTAAGAAGAGGAGTGTGTTATTAGAAAAATATATGGTTTTAATTATGTGTGTTTGTGTGCGCGTGTGTCTGTCTTGGCAGGTCAGCGCGTGGTGTGGCTCTTGGACTTTCACAGTTAAAGATTTCGGCTCTTTGTGTCTAACTTGTTCGCCATCCCTGGTATAGGGCTTCCCCCAACAGTGCTGGAGGAGGTGTCTGCGGAGAGGGAAGTCTGGGAGTCTCTGCTTAGTCTGCTGCCCCCGCGACCCGGTTCCGGATAAAGCGGGAGATGACGAGTACGAGTATTTCAACCGTTGCATATATTAGCTGCAACATATGAATCAAGATGCTATGACCGAAAAAATTTGATTGACAGACGACTGCTAAAATATGATTGGCCGAATTTAGGTGTACAAACTGACGTATAACTAACTAGCCTGCATAAGATAACGAAAATAACCCAACAGATTTTAAGACAGGATTTTTTTTTTTAAATAGAAATTTTATAAAGACAATACAGTCTGATAGAGTACATTTATATGATAGAATGATAATATAATGCAGAATGATTAACAAAAATAACATAATAAAACATACAATAACATAACAAAAATTATTATTATATATAGAATGACTTGACATTTAAATATGACTTCCCTACGACTTTAATACCAGATATGGAAGTGGTCAAATTTGAATATGTTTTGAAAAGATTTCAGTTAAGACATTCAAAAGTTGGATACGAGTTGCATTTCCCAGCAGTGAACAAAGTCTTGGAAGCTTCAGAAACTGCAGCACACCAAGTAGACTTGCTGTGACCGATCACAGTTGTGATCCCCTGCGGCGGTACGGCGCTAAAGCAGTTTGCACATCCAGTGGAACCAAGTTTTACAGGTCCCCTCTTCCCCTTAATCTCTGCTGTGCTACAGCCTTAGCTCCACAGCACCTCCCATGGAGGCTAGGAAGCGGGGCTTCCGATAAAACTGCTAAAGGATCACTAGAAGAGAACAACATCAATGATAGAACTTTCATTGGCAAACAGCTGCAGCGTAGCAGCTCCAAGGACAGTATGGGCTGAGTGGGGAAGGGGTGTGAGCAGTGCGCGAACAAGCTTGTTTGACCTGACACATTCGTTTTGTCTGATTGGCTGTTTCTAGAGATGCATTGTTAAGGGCTTAGCTATGCTCCTGCAGCAGTGTGTCGCAGTGAGCTTGTCACAGGTAAGACACAGATGTTTTTGATTTATGCCCAATATTGAAGCCTGGTCTGCGCTATGTTATTCCACGTCACAACACAAGAGGGACAATCACGAACTAGCTGTGGGTCTAGATATGGCCGAGCGTTCTCAGGCACCTTGCTCTTCTAGCTGGTCCATTTACACGAGTCGTTTTCCACAACGGCGTTCATACAAACAAAAAAAGCCAGTAAGATACCAAACAGGAAATACGGATAGTGTAGAGCGGGTGTAAAATTGACCAGTCAGAGGCCTCCTGTCTGCAGTCACCTACAATTTTGAAGAGGTGCAGCAGAGTGTCTGCAGAAGGGGAGGGGGCATATCTGCGTTAACTGTGACACACATGCAGACGACATGGTTTCTGAGGATAAGCCTTTAGGGTCGATCTGAAACTCTGATCGGATATCGCATGAATGACGCCAATCCAGGTTGCAACGCTAGTTGTCACCATATGTGGTATTTATTAAAAAATTGTTTTCTTTTTTTTAGTGTGTGTCAAGCATGATGCCTTTATCCACCTCTAAAGGTATACAGTTAATTTATTCACCAGTAGTATCTAAGACCACTGGAAAGAGGCAAAAACGTTTTATTTTACATAAGATCTCCCTTTACATTCCTGTCAGGACATGGGGACAGTTTTAACTAATATAAAAAAAGGATTACATTTCTTACTGCACTTTAAGTTTGCAGTCTGACTTTGCTTAGCACAAATTTTAGACTGTGGGTTTGTAATTTGAATCAGGGTTATGCATTGTTGTAAGGAAGCAACTGCCCAACCTAAAACTACAAAACACGCTTCTCAACAAAAGGTGTCCAAGTATTTTCATTCTAAAGTAAAAGTACACATACCTGTGTAAAAAGGACTCTGGTCAAAGTAGAGACTGAACATATTTAATTAAAATGAAGTTCCAAGCACATAAAATTAATACTCGCCTTTTTTTTCTTTTCTTTTTTTTTTTTACTTCAGGCAGGATATTAAAGATTGAGCTGAACTAAAGTCCTGCATCAACTCAATTTAGAGCTCTGGTATTTGCAGCATTGATGTTGCAAATTATATTTAAATTCATCTATAACTAGTAAATCAGCAGGTATGTTTTAAATCCAATAAAAGGGGGAATGGATGCGGAATGTCTTGTATTTCAGAATTCGATCCACCATATCATATTTTCTCTAGCATCCTGTATTCTATGGAGGACCGACTCTGCCATATTTAAAAATAAATACAGAAGTTAAATGCTCAATAAATAATAAAAGTTTACCCTCTAAGCAACACTGCTTCCTCATTTGCATAATGAGGCAGAAATGCATACAGAAATGTAAAAACAACAGGCAGAAATAAATAGCATTAAAAAATATATAGGGTAAAAAAATACAAAGGAAGAATAAAACACAAAAATATTACATCATGCACATAAATACTTAAAAAAATTTAATAAATAAAGTTGAAGATTATAATGGACAATAAACAAATAAGGTAATTATTACAATAATTAAAAGAGATTCATACATTTATGTCTCACTGTGTAATTTAATTTCTACCTACATTTATTAGTTTATTGTACTTTTTATTTTGGGGGGGCATTAATTGTATGCTTATTTATTTATTAAGCATTTATTTATTTCTATATTTATTTTTTGGTTGGTTGGATTTGGTCCTCCATAGTATTCATCCATGTTGCCATCATTGTTTTTTCTAAATTGAAAATGTGTGTTCAATATTACAAGTAATAGGTCCTCAGAAAAATATTCAACTAAAGATAAAAAAGTAAAAATAAAGAAAACACCCAAGCACAGTACCAAAATAAAGAGAAATTTGTAATAAACAAAACAAATAGAGCCATGTTTTTATTTGCTCGTGGTGCATTATTTCAATGTTTCCAACATAGATGTGCAGAAATAAGCTAAATGCTGTGATGTGCCTTCTACCTGTTCTTCAGGGCTGTCTCAGCCTGTGTCCCCGCACACAGCAGCATGGACAGGGGGAACTCCTGCCTGCTGTCTCCGTCTCCACCCTTCATCACATCGAAGCTCAGACAGGGAGCACCTGGAAGCCAACAACAAGCTTAACACCTTCGCATCGTGGAGGAGCTCATTCAGACTGAACATAGCGGGTCTGAACTCGCCTGTTTGGCACTCGTGATACATGCGGTACGCAGAGCGGTCCATCTCCAGCTCCTCTCCGGGCTGGAGCGGCTCGATCCCGGGGACGTAAACCTTCTTCTCTGCCTCCATGTCTACTCCCTCGTCCTCCTCCTCGCTGCCCACTTCCTCCATCTCTTCCATTTCGCCTTCTCCTCCTTGGTCGAGCGCGTGCTCACCGGGCGCAGACATATTGGCAAAGCACTTCCGGTTTCTACAGCGGCCACGTGGTTCCTCTCCCTTCTTCCCCTCCTCCTGCTCTGCCTCGCCTCCCTCTCTCCCCCACCCTGTTTACGGGAATTCAGCTGGCCTCTTTGGCACTTGGCTCCACGCTGTCTGAAAAAAGCAGGCTTTCAAAGATTTCTCTCGAAATTGTATCAGTGAGCTGTTGGCTGTATTGTGCATTGTCACCCCAATGTTACCAGAAACCTCCCCCCCTTCTCCAGTCTATATATTCTGCTCTTTATTGGGGTCATCTTTATGTAGTGACCCACCCAAGACAAGCACTTCCCATGAATAATTCAGCATATTTAAACGAATTATGAAACACCCATCACAGACACTAATATCCCTCTCAGATATTAGTGTCTTAAAATATTTACACATCCGAATGGCAATGATACAAGAGACATGCTCTGTGAAAGGTTCAGTTTAAGTCCTACCCTCCGAATGTGTTTTTACTCCTTAAAACTTCAGAGTAAACAAGTACTCCAAACATGTTGCTTCCATAGTGACAACTAGGGAATAGACTTCAGATGAAAGGACAATGGTGCAGCTTACATTTCTGGGTGTGTGTGCAAGCAGAGGCAAGTGCTACCATAAAGATTGCACTTTTATTCCTCATATAGGTTCAGACAAAATCCAGGTTGCCACAATGCATTCCTATCCTTGTCTGCAGCTTATCGTTGAACTTTCTTCTTTTCTACCAACTTGCAAGGTGGCATCTTGGAAAGAAAAGAAAAAATGCTGTCACAGTCCACCTGACATGAATACATGCTGCAGGTACACACAACATCAAGGAGCATAAACAAAAAATCCTTTCAGCGCTGAAGGGATCACCAAAGCATTGAGGTGCTCTAGCACGGACGAACAATTAACTGAGGCATAATTTGTTCAATTTCAGTAAATATACAGAAAATAAGAGATGTTAAAGCTGTAAAATAACATGTATGAAAAGAAGCGATTTACTGTTTTAGTTTGTGTAACAGGACGTTGATCCATCCAGCAACATTTATTGTCCTATAAATGTCTTGGAGACGAGAAAAACTGTCGGCCTCAGATTTTTAGCTCATTTACAAAAGCTAATGCACTCTTCCATTGTTGACAAACAACAAAACAATGATAATAAATAAAAGTTACAGGATAATTCTAATTTAAACCAAATGCTAATAATGTATATATCTAGAGGAACAAAATTTACATTTATATACAGAAATAAACTTCTACTATATTTAACTGTAAACAGTGAGGCAACCAGAAGGGATGGCTTATGTGCACTGACAAGCTCAGTTTGGATCTTCTGTTAGCATGAAAAGCACAAATACCTTTTAGTTTTAGTTTTATATATTTATATTTGACTTTAGGTATTTTATTCAGCCAATGCATGTCGCTTCATTTTTTTCAAAGCTTACTGCATAAAAACTCAAAATAGATCATTCAGTGCCACATAAAATTTGCATTATTGTGCAAAAAAAAAAAAAGAAAAGAAATGTTGCCATCAGTAGAGTCCAAATGACAAGAACAATAACAGGGGACTCCAGAAAGCTGCAGAGCGAGGCAGGGATAGAGATCTTCCACAGGACGATGGTGGTTTACTGGCTATTCTTTTGCCAGGTTGGTTTTCTTCGCTATTAATGGCTCGGGTGGTCAGCAGTTTGACCCTCACTGGACCGTAGTCCTTTCTTTCAACAGAGGGAGGCAACGTGGGTGGAAGACAAGTTTCAATTGAAGGTGAGCAACCAACTTCTAGCCACCGAGCAAAAAGTCCTAATGTTAGATTTAAGAGTTCTTCTGGGGAGGAAGACAGCGTGGGGTACTGGTCGAGATCGGTCTCCTCCTGGAACCGCTGACAAAAAGGAAATAATCAAATTAGAGGGTTAAAGAATTAAGGGATAAAGAGTTAGTCAAGTCATAAAAAATAATTGAAATACAACTCTACAACATAGCCTATTATATAGTTTACAGAACTCTTAAAACGTAACATGCCAGAACAAGAACACATACATGAAAGGAAATATTACCTCTATATTTTTGTTCCTATTGACAATTTTATCCAGTGTCTCCTTCAGCTCTAAGATGAATGTGTAATTAAGATGTTGATCCCAGAGGTTTGTGAGGAGCACATGCCAGGACTCTACAAGGACTACTGCTGCAGAGAACACGCAACACTGTAGAGAGAGACGCCTCAGAGTTAGCAAGCACCTCACATGCTGAATCACCACAAGAACCACATCAGTGAAACTCAAGTGCAAGTGACACTAGAGAGCACCTGTCGAAGCGATCTGTTAACCAACAGGCTTTTTGAATATTAAAATTAAGGTCTGTGCAAAAGGTATTTTTTACTTAGTTCACAAAATCTATGACTAACCCACAATAAGAAGTTGATTTCAGTGAATACTGCAAGACCATAAAGTGCACGAGCAGTTTATAACACGTGAGACCTATGATTTCGGTTTACCTGATAAATAAACTCACCGGCTCAGTTTCGCACAACATGCTTCGGGTGTAGTGGTGCACTACACGATAATCTTTAGGAAACACAGACCGCTAAAGGAGAAAAAGCAAAGATTAGAATAGATTAGCGTTGTTGACCAAAGTTGTTAAAATGAAGCCTATCTTTCACAATTGTTTCAAATCTGCTCCCAGCTTGATCTGATAACCTTACAATGAGTCACCTGCCAAGCCAAATTGTATTCCTTCAAATCACTTTCTCACTTTTAAGACTTGCGGTCTGTGCAGTTAGCGAAGCTGTCATATTTTTGAAAGTAAAAACTTACAAATCCAGTTGGATTAGACTCAATTGTGGCCTTTATGTTCTCGACGCCTTTCAGTTCAAACCTACAGCAGCCACAGTCGACGATGAAAAGCAGTAGCAAGAGTAGACCTGTTTGACACATGCGTGAGGATGAAGAGAGCAGATGAAATCCAGATTATAGGTGGAAACTTTCTGTGGTTTCTAACTACTCTGAGCAGCATATCTAAAGAGGTACTTTACAACATATCCTGTGTCAATAAGGTATATCTACAGAAAACACACAAAATACTCTGAGCCGGAGTTGTATTACCTCCAACAGTATGACATAAGTGCAGACGAAGGCTGTAGTGACACATGCGGTAAAAATTTACAGCAATACCTGAATAAGCATGTGGAAGCTCTGCTCTACAAATTTTAGAATTGCGCACTTAAATTTTTAAAAAAAAAAGACAAGGCATTCATGATATATAGGTACTCACCTGGCATTTTATCTTTCCAAGAATGGACACTTCTCCATTTCTCTTGTTGACAGCAATCACTCTTCAGCTGTGTCACTCTGTGAAAGGCAAAGTTTCCTTCTTTGTGGCTTGTTGAGGTCTCTGACAGAGCACGCTTCTGCCTTTTCTCTCTCTCAGCGGTCGATGTTTAGTCCTCTCTCTCACATCCCTCAGTTCATTCTCTTCTTTTGGCTTCCTCTGGTACTTTCCAAAATATGGTCCATTAATTACAGCCCATCATTCTCTTTCACTTTTGGATTTTCCCATAAAACCCCAGGAGGATGCAGTCTTCTTTCGTTTTCTGAGCTTGTTTCTGCTCCTTTTTTCTCTGTCTTGCACTACGGACCTGGGATTTTCCTGAAATTGTAGTGCTCCTGGGTTCCTTAAACCTAATAAATGGATAAAGCGGCAGAGACGCGAGCCCCTTTCTTCTCCCTCTGGTCACTTGTGTTCTCCACTCAGACGCTCAAAGTGAAAGTGGTTGTTCAATTGTCTGCCTGCTCCCTTTAACTCCCGGCCCCTCCCACGCCACACGTTTTACCTCACTATTGACTGACCCGACTCCCTCCTCCCGCTCCCCACATTCCCTGACACCCTCACCCCCCTTCCCCCATTTCCAAACAAGGGCCAAGGAGGCTTAGTCATGCAGTTGGAGCGTATGTTTCTCATTTTAAGTCTCCCCCGCACCTCTGCGCCTGCAGATCTGCCTTAGAGTCATTATCATCCTGATTGTCACATGTGCTGCTTTTGTTTTTGCTTTAAATAACACAAAGAATAACATTCCTTGTCAGTCAGACAAGCAGGATTGCAACACTAAACTGCCAGAACATGCATGTCATTCTACGTGAAACAGCTCCTCACGGTCACTTAAGAAAACGTCATAGATGTGCATCACGTTACATTAAATTCCAATACTGTGAGCAGCTATCAACAGCTTGTCTATAACGTGTTGATCTGAGGCCTCAGGTCATCCTGCAGCATCCTGTTGCTTCTGATTTTTGCAAGTTGTCAAGGAAGGAAGAAAGGAAAATGCTGTTCTTCTGCGTGGTCTTTGTCATTGCGGGTCAAGAGAAAGCAAAGTATCATCTCTGCTGCTGCTCTATAGTTTCCATTTCCCCTCAGCTAACTTGCTGCGAGGAAAAAAATAAAGCCACCCGCCCTCTTCAAAACTCCCCGAGGCCTCATCAAGTGGAAACCTCTCAACCTTTAGCATGCGTTACATTGACAGTTATAAATATTCATCCCTTGTGCAGTCTTCCTGCTTCATGCATCACTTGCATGTTGAGCAAAATATGCAAGTACTTTAAAGATACTGTTTTTTTCAACATAACACAGTCAGAGCAAATTAAATCCAGATTTAAGCTATGAGTAGAGAAGAATAAGCATTAGTTGACACATTGTTTTTAGAATCAAAGCTATCATCCAGTATTAATGAACTGATTTATAAAGCTGAGTATGCATCTGTTCCATAGGGATCACAGAGATGGTGAAATCCATTTTTTTTTTTTTACCACAGTTCTCAGTTCTTTTATTAGCCTATACTGAAATATCAAGGCATTAACAAAAGACATTTTAATGTTTTGGGGGAATATTTAAAGAGAAAGATAGATATAACATTTCAATTTAACCATTTTTTTTCATTTTTTATTTTCTTTTTCTATACTTATTCAGATGTGGAATCCATTTAAACCAGATCTCATAGTTTTCCAGAATGCAAGAACCCTGGTTGCACAATCATCACATAGTTTCAGGTCAAGGAAAACAAATTGAAAAAAGAAAAATCTACTCAGTTTAAATGGAGCCGTATGTTGCCGGGTTTTATTGACTGAAGTCTGCGGACCTCAGCCAAGCAAGAGACGCTTTGGATTTGAGTAAAAGCACAGAGGATCAGTGTGCGACTGGCTCGTTAAGGCGCCAAACATGTGCAGATGCGGTTGGTCCAGTTGGTGCGAGAACTGCTTGTTTTGCAAGCATTTCGTACATATTGGAGTTGCAGAAAACCCCAAAAAAGTCTTTTCTTACACCACTTGAGACATGTTGGCTGAGGGCCACTCAAACAAGTGAGTGGGAGCTTGAGAAGAAACATTCATCTCCACCTCCCACTTGTACTTCCACTCCTTCTATTATCCCAGTTAACCACCAGATGGAGCCAATTGTAGAATAAGGAGCATCTGACTTATGGTTTATATCTTTCGGATCTATCAGCATTTATAAACTAAGTGCAAAGGCTGTTAGTAATAAGTTAATTTTCACATAAAAGGCCTGTGTCAAGAATTCCCTTTAACAAAAAGATCCCATGCTTTATCCAATATGATTCTTTGTTAAGCTGTGCAGGATGATCATCTGAGGCAACTACACAATAGATTTCTTATTACTTAAAAAGACAATAATGGATGAACAAAATCATTCTTGTCACCCATTCACAGTGCTCCTTCATTTAATGAGGAATCCATAGGGCCAACAGAACTACCCATTAAAAGACTTCCTCTTGCTTCGTTTAGCATTTAGATACAATTGCAGTCATTTTCTTTTTCTCAGTATGTCCCACCTCCTCCTCTTTTTATCATTGGCTGGGGCTCCTCTCCCCTCCTCGCACAGCTGTCATTAAATGACTCTTATAGGTTTTGCTCAGTCCAGTCATCCAGTACTTCAACAGCCTGACGTTGTCTTCCTCCCCGGGCCCCGTGGCACCGAGCAGGGTCAGAACCCTCTGGGTGTCCTCCCTCCCTCGACCGTCCACTTTAGAGAATTTGAACAGCACTTTGACTTTACTGAAAGAGCGAGAACCTCTGATGAGAACAATGAAATCTTTCTCATATTCATGTTGATCTTAGTGGTCTTACTCACTTCATCCACTCCTCCTTCAAACAAAGCAGGCAGTGAGACACAACGTCCACAGACAGATTCTCGTTAGATAAGGCCACCTCAAGTTTGTTCAGTAAAGTTGGACCTGAAGCAAAATAAACAGTGTTAAGAATTTCATAACTCGGCAAACAAATATGATTATAGAGGTTTTCTTTGGAAGTGTGTTGCATAAGTAACTTCCTTACAGAGCAGCTCTGAATTCAGGCTGGGAAGAGCCAATGACCAGATAATTACTTTCTGATGTGGAGCCAGGTTCACAAAGTTTATTTATTGGCTGAACAGCTTTACAACTTGCACAATAACCACTGGTCTGGCTTAAATCACAATTAATAAGCAGCTTCACATAAACTAGTCTTGTTAACAAATCATATCAGCTAGAGTCCAAGGTACAGAATTAAGATTTATCCTTCAGGTCAGCATGGTTAAAAAGATCCAAAAACCAAGATAATATCTTAATCTTCTTTATATATATTATTCCATGTGTTGTTTTTACATCCTCTCTAGCTAATTTTAACTTCAACCTTGTTTTAATAATTTGTTTTATCCCTTGTTTTTTTTTTTTTTTTTTTTACTTTTTGTGACTTTTAGCCATTTTATAAGACTATCCCTAGAAACACTATGTGACATGGATTTAATAAAATTTGCAACAACAAGCTTGATGATTGCAATTTCAAATTTGTTAAGCAACTTAATATGCACAAGATCAATGTTCGCCATCTGTAAAGGCCTCCAGACATACACAACAAACAGTATGAAGAACACAGGCCTTTAGGTTGTGGGATTTATGTGCAGTAAGATAAATCATAAAAAAAATGAGAAAAAAGAAGGAAAAGATAGACAAACTTGGGATTCTAGTTGAACAAAAAGTGTTTGATGTGTGTATTTATAGCTTATCTGTTTACACTTAGAAGCTAAAAGATCTAAAATGGTTATTGCCATGATTCCGGAACCTATATATATATCTGGTTAGGTAAGTATTTTCCATGGTGACCTCTGAATATGACAGCAACCAAAAGGACATGCACACTTGACTTAAAACTAATGGGGACGTGTTCACTTCCCACATCCAGGAGAGCTTCTCTCTGATTCTGGTGGAGGCTGATGATGTAGAACCGGAGTTGACCGTATTCTCTGTTGCCAAGCAGCCACCAATAGCTGTGGCCATAAGGGCTGTTGTGCCCGTTTTAGCAGCCAATTGCAAGAGTACTTTGAGGATCTCCTAAACCCGGTGTTCTATCAGATGAGCATACCAGCATACACATAGTCAATACCAGTTTATCCTTTTAGTTTATGTATTTAGTTTATCGCTTTAGTTTTTACGAAAAATAAACTTAAAACTACCTCAACGGGCATGTATCCCTTTAGCCATGTACAAAGAAACAATTTAATTACCGTTTGGTGTTTTTTGAAGCATATGGCAATCTAATCTTAAATAGATTTTTTTTGTACATGACTGAAGGGATACACGCCAGTTGAGGTAGTTTAAAGTCTATTCTCTGTACAAAAAAAGGGATAAATGCAAATCTGATGTCTTGCGCATGCGTATTGATTATGGGTATGCTGGTCTGATGGGGTGATCTGACAGATCACCAGCTGTAACACGGATCACCCCGCTCAGCCTCCCCAGGAAGGCTTATGCCAGGGAGCTGGAGAGGAGGCTTTGGCTGACTACCAAACTCTGCCAGGAGTATGGTTTATGCAGTGTTCCGGTCTTGGAACAGTGGACCAGCTCTACACCCCCTGCAGGGCGCTCAAGAGTTCATGGTAGTTTGCTCACTGGATCATATGTGCCTTGTTGATGTGGAGAAAACATTTGACTGTGTCCCTAGTTTTACCCTGTCTGGGTGATCTAGGAGCACCGAGTTGGTGGCCCTGTTCTATGGGGCATCTGGTCTCTGAACAAGTCCCCTGGCACTGGTCCTTTTCATGCTTTCATGGACAAGATATCTAGGTGCAGCCAAGGGCTGGCAGTGCTTGGTTTGGGGGCCATCAGATGTCGACCCTGCCTTTTGCGAATTAGGCTTTGCTGTTTTCCTCCTGCTAAGATCTACAGCATGTGTCGGGGCAGTTCACAGCTTTGTGGAAAGTGGCCGGGATGGGAATAAGCTTCTCAAAGTCTGGATCTAGACCAGAAAAATATGACTTCCCCTCTTCAGGTCGTAGGATAGTTCCTGCCTCAAGTCGGGGAGTTCAAGTATGTCGGAGAATGGAGTGGGAGATTGACAGACTGGCGTAATGTGGATACTGTACCAGTGTGCAGAGGATGCACTGGTCTGTTGTGGTAAAATTAAGGAGCTGAGCCAAAAGACAAAGCTCTCGATTTATCATTTGGTCCACTTTCCTGCCCTCGCAAATGGTCATGTAATCTGACTCTTAACTGAAACAACAATATCAGGGATACATAATCCATTGGCACTTGGACACCTCTGACATTTGCCAAAGGAGCTAATGAAATGGTGTCCGTGAAGAGAGAAGTCATGGACTCTCTGTTGAGGCTGATGCCCCCATGACCCTGACCCGGATAAGCAGGAGACGACGAATCCGTGTATGAGTTTATCTCAGGAAGCTAACAATACAGGTAGTTGAACTTGTTCACACAAAGATCTTGACAGTTTTCCAACAATCTTTTGTCTGTGATGGCCCATTGCACAGTGTCTACTGGTAATTACAAA